CAGGGGGTTAAAGCCGAATCCAACAGCAACCCTAGCAGCTTGCCAGCCCCCCAGAGTCCCCCCAAGGAGGCCAGCCAGGCCCAGCCAGGTATGCAACAGCCAGAGGGACAGTAGCTTCATCTCCTGTCCGTCAGCTGCCTGTTTGATTTTTCTTTAGGGAAACAGGTTTGGACTGTTAAGGTCCTGTGTGCATCAAATCCTACACAAAATCAAGAGACCATCCTCATTCACCAGTTGTGTCTGTTTTTTTTTTGTTTGTTTTAAGTATTTTAGAAAATAAGTAATAGGCTTTGATCTACATACTGATTTTGACTAATAGTTGGCTAATCATTTTTAAATGCACATTTTCATTTCTTTCTCTCATTTCACCCTGGAGAGCAGAGATGCTAAATGTTTCTCCCAGTATTATAATAGCCAAAGAATGAAAAGAAATTCACATCTACTGATCCCCTATACATGTTACCCATTTAATCTGCACAGTGATCCTCTGCAGTAGAGGTGCTACTTCATTTGCTTCAGCATCCTCAGACAAGATTCTGTTCACATTGCTTCACTATTCATGGATTGGCAGTCTTTACTATGTACATGGTGCATATCCTGGGGGCAATTAGAAGGGCACATTTCATTTACATGCCTCCGTTTAGTTGCCAGGAGGTGTACTGTTCACTCACAGCTCTGCATCAGGGATGGCAGGAAAGGAGCAAACCTTATCTTTACCTCCTACCTCCTGCCATAACTTGCTGCCTTCAGTGTGGTTTGTGGTGAGGTTGGACTGGGGTAGAGGTGCTCCCCAAAAGCACAGTGCTTTTTTCTGCCACTCTCATCTTTCCTGAGGGCAACTGAACCAAAATCTTAAGGAAGAGAAAGTGTTCCGACTCTTTCTGAGCCTGGGCTCAATGTTTCTGGGACAGAGTAGGCAGCACCTGAATCAGGAGATCATGGGGAAAAGCTGTTTGCCCAGAGCTGTAGACATATGCTTAAATGCTTTGGGTTCAAACAGAGTAGGAGGTCAAGGGTTTTAAAGTCAGAATGCCTGGGCTGGCTGGTTAGTTCACTTGGTTAGAGCTGGTGCTGATAACACCAAGGTCCAGGGTTCCATCCCTGTACTGTCCAGCCACCAAAAAAAAAAAAAAAAAAACC